CACAGTTTCAATAGGCTCTCGCAGCGCTTAGCTGCTCGGGCCTAATAATTTACAGCACAGTTTCAATAGGCTCTCGCAGCGCTTAGCTGCTCGGGCCTAATAATTTACAGCAAGGTTTCAATAGGCTCTCGCAGCGCTTAGCTGCTCGGGCCTAATGACATCCATTTTAGTGCTGACCATTTAAGTTTTGAATGCTAACCAAATAAATACAAGGTAATACAATTTCTATAGATCCTTTCTTCATCGCTGTCCTATAAGGTGATTTGATTTTAATGAATAAAATCAGTTGAATTATCAGCCACATGATGAAGCTTCTATTAATGTTCTTTGATTTCTACACTGAATTTTCAATTTAAACGGAGGCCCAGATTGCTTGCTTTGTTTTAAAGTTGGAACTCTTTGTAATCAGATACATTGTCATTTAAAAAAAGACTAAATCACAACCAAACATGCTGTGGTTGATGGGACAGGAATAAGTAACAAACTTTGTAATTACTACCTGTTTGTTTCCTGTAGTGTGAACTTACCGTCCTGTAAAGGCTGTTTATTTGTTTCTTCCTCTATTTCAGTGCTTCTCAATTCCAGTCCTCAGGCCCCCTGCTCTGCATGTTTTAGATGTGCCTGTATTTCACAACAGATGATCAAAATGATTGCATTACCTCTTCTGCTGGCATCAAGTGCTGCAGAAGCTTGTTAATCGCCCATAGATTCAATCCAGGTGTGTGGCAGTAGGGAAACACCTAAAACATGCAGGGCAGGGGGGCCTGAGGACCGGAATTGAGAAGCACTGCTCTATTTTGACCCAATAGTGTTAACCCTGACTGATTTGGGATGATGTGATGTGAAGACTTCCTGTTCTTGAGTTTAGATTTGAAGCAATTTTTATTGAATTGGAAAAAGAAATAGCAGTGAAGAAAAGTTGCACATGTGCCTCACATACCTTATATTTAAAGTTTTAAATCCATTAAAACATTAAAAGAGTTACCAAAACTCCTCAAAGGTTGGTAATTGGTGAAAAAAAAACAACTTTAGATATCATAATGATTCAAACAACTAGGATTAAAAGGTGAACCAGTGAAAAAATTAAGGTAATTAAAGTGTCTCTTCTAGAAATTTGTGATTAGAACTAAATAAGGATTTGAGCTGAAGGCTAATATATCCATATATCTATGTTTTGTATCAGGGAGTACAAAGACTGTGCAGTTCTTGCCCAGATGCTTCAGGAGAAACTAGATGGATACAAGGCTGATGACCCCACTATGGGAGAGGTATGGGATGGAAATACATCACCAGTGAGAACAATCACACTAACATGAATAACATTATAAATATGGATTTTTCTAATGGTTTTTAGCTGTTTGTTTTTTAGGATGGAATGTAAAACATACAACTTCAAGACTTTTTAAAAAACCATTAGGTGTTCATGTGTATTTATTTTGGATTTTGTCTAGTCCATGCATTACCAGTATTAAAGTTAAAGGCACTAAAGTGAACTATACTGTTTGGAGACATGTTCTTTAGAAAGATGCAGAGAAACCATGAGTTCGAGTTGCCGTCACGGGTTTGAGTCCCGGCCCATTGACCTTTGTCACCTGTCTTCTCACACCCACTTTCCTGTCAATCTACTGTGAAATAAGGCCAATAAAGCCAACAAAAGAGAAAAGCCTTAATTTTATTATTAATTTATTGTTTGGTATCAGTGTCCTGTTGGAACATCCAACTGTTCCCAAATATAAAAACCTGAGATGATTAGAAGTAAAGTCAAAGAGTTTGGAGGTAGTCCTATTCTTGGGTCCATTCTGTGTGATGCATCAATATCAATGGTAACCTGAAACACCCACAGACTACTACTGCCACACTCTACCAATTGCTTAACAAGTGGTAGAGTGTTGTTAGGTGGAAAGCCTTAACTTGACCCCACCAAATATGCTTCTTCTTGTTATGGTTGAATAGTTCTACCAAGAGAATCCAGAAAGTTAACTTCAAACGTCATGTTCTCATAACCAAAAACATGCAGACTGAGAAAGATATGCTTTCTAAACAGGTTGCATCTTTCTTGGTTGCATACTCTTGGTTGATGTGAACATTAAACTCAATTCATTGTCAACATCAAAACTTGCTTTCCCAGGATCTTCCAGTTTATAATGGGATTTAGCCATGATTGCTCCTAAACTGTTCCTAAACACTCCAGTCAATGTTTCAAAATGAAGGGTTATAGTTTGGGTTGTAATGATAACAGTACAGCAATGTTGTATTTTACACAAGGACAAAGACCTCAAACATACATTAAACTTAGATTTACATCAAGCTTCCAGAATAACCCTGGAAGCTTGGTAGGAACCCCCGAGTTCCTACCTGAACTCAGTAGGAATTTTGCATTAATGCTTAAAAGCCTGATTTCTGACAGGACAGCAGCTACTTTATATTAGCTCCTTGAATTCTGTAAAGAAAAGGGACCAATATCCAGACACAACTGCAGATGATTTTGTGGATGGCTACCAAAACTATGTGATTTATTTGCATCTTGCTAAAGGTTATTTATTCAAATGTTCATGCTGAACTAACCATGTATTTAAACTTTGAACAGTTTTGACAATAAACTATCAGCTTGGTTCACAGATTTTTCTTTTTAAAGCTTATTGACATTCGTTTTTGTATAATAATTTCCACCGTACAAAAAAATTGTTAAAATGCATTATTATAAGGTCCAAAATGAACATGAAATTCATATAGATGATGAGCAGACAAATGGCAAAGTTAAGAGCTATACAGAATCCAGGAGACCCAGCTCTGTGGATCAGCAGTCCTGTGAAAATCCGACATTTAATTATTTTCAAATACTTTACTTTTATTATGTGATTCGTGAGCCTGTGTATAATACGTTCATAATCTGTTCATTTACCAGTGGGCTAATAGATTATTGATATCTGTTGAAACTCTGCATACTTTTTTTTTTGTTAAACAGAAATAAAAACAGAAACAGAAAATAACTCTGTTCCAAAGTGATCAACACATAAACAAATTTGTTCTGTAAATAGATTTTCCTTACATTTTGTGTTTTGACACACATGTTAAATCTGCCTAAGATGATTAGCTATATCCAACAGCTCATCATCAGATAATTGGCACCAGCCCTGAAATCCCAGAGAACATTAGAGATTTACTGCTTTTCTTGGGCTCAATGGATCTTCTCACCCTCACTTTCTGTTGTCACTCTTTGGCAGCTGCCTGTACCCTTCAGTTTACTATTTTTTAAAAATCTGCTGCAGTATTTGTTGATCATATGCAGTGAATGCCTTGTTTATGCTCTGATGCAGGGACCAGACAAGTGTCGTACTCAGCTGCTGATTCTGGATCGTGGCTTTGACCCTGTCTCCCCTCTCTTGCATGAGCTCACACTGCAGGCCATGGCCTACGACTTGCTGGGCATTGAAAATGACGTCTACAGGTACACATGTCCGGTTCAAATTCAATTGGAGAAATCTAGCTCAATGAAATAAATCCCATATGAAGCACTGAAGGGAGATGGAAATTGAGCAGAATTGAGCATCAAGATAATGGCAGGCTAGGTAGCCAATCATTGTGAGCTATGATATGTAGGAAACTGTCTCTGAATACAAGACAAATGGATAAAACCATCATGTAACTATCAAGCAACACTTTAGAGGAATCTTGCTGACACCATTTGGAATCTATGCCATAAAGATTAAGATGTTTCTGAAGTAAAAAAAAATGGGTTCAGTCCAGCAGCAAGATGTACTTAAAATGTTTGACAACACTACTTTTAATCTCTGGTTCTAGTCCATAGTTCCACTATCCTTGAGATATATTGTCCTGCATTTTCCATTGTTTTCCTGCTTGATTTAAAGGATTAGGCCATTAGCCACCTGTGGCCCAGCTTGAACACCAACACATCTCTCTGAGATTTCTTGAAGCAGGGACTTGCTGAAAACATGCAGGACATTGTTCATTTGGTTCTCAAACTTGTTTTCCCTGCTCTATCTGACCACTGAAATACAACAATAGGCATACTAATGCAAATCTAAAACACAAATATGTTAATGAATGTGATGGATGTTAAGTTGATTTAACATCCATCATATTAGCTGCAGTAATACTTACTGTAGCTATTTAATAACTCTCTGGTGCACAAAAGCTGCATCTAATCCTGCTTCCACTCTCGCTCAGTTATGAGACCAGTGGAATGGGAGAAACCCGAATGAAGGAGGTGGTTCTGGACGAGGATGATGACCTGTGGCTGACTCTGAGACACAAACACATAGCTGAGGTGTCAACGTGAGTGCTTTCTGTTTCAGGACCCAGAAGAGCTTCTCATGCCTTTTTCTCTAACTCTTCCTTATCATGTCACTCTGAGCAGGGCTGTGACTCGCTCTCTGAAAGAATTCTCTGCCAGCAAGAAGATGAACACAGGAGAAAAGGTAGAGGCCAAGCTGTGTTCTTGCTGTTTCACTGTTTTGTACACAGACACATGAAGGTACAAGGAAAAGGTGGCAGTGGTATTCTGTGACAGGACATTAGCCTGTGCTTTGTTTGTTAACGGGGTAGATGTTCTGAGAAAAAAAAAAGTTCAAGTTGAAAGTGAATAAAAATCAATTCTTGTGGAGCAATATGCTCTGGACTAAAGGCACTTTGAAGTCATTGAATTGACCATGAACATCTCTATGTGTTAAAATAGTTTAGTCAAAAGTAAGAAATGCAACTGGACAATAATAAGAATAAAATCCGTTAAATCTGTTCATGCAGAAAAATTCCAAGTTTATTATATACATTCCAAATTTATCTGAATTATCAAACAATGCAGTCAAGCTCAGTCCAATATTCAAATGACTAAAAATCTATCTAAGGAAACCTAGCAGATGACATTGAGTCACTGACTTGGAGTATTCACTCCTCCTGGAGTAGCAACAATGGACAGCAATTCCTCAAACTGAGCAGGTAGCAACAGAGGAAAGACCCTTTAACAGAAACACCCTTTAACAAGAAGAAATCTCCAGCAGAACCACGACATGAACAGTGTGAACAGCCATCTGCTAGGATCAACTGGGGGGTTTCAGAAGTCTGAGCAGACACAGACAAACAAAACAGCTCAGTAGCACTGATCTAGGAGTAATTTCTATGTACAAGTAAAAGGTTAAAGGCAACAGTAGCCCCTAAATAATGCAACCAACAAAATGAGTTTGAAATAGTATGTTATTCCTAACCAGAAAATATTAAGCTGTGTGTTTTATTAAGCTAACATTATTAGCTTTTTCTTCTTTTGCTCTTTTCTTTGGTTTATTTTGTTTGTATGTCTTTTTAAATCCTGTAAATCACTTTGTATTATTGCCTTGCTGCTGAAAATGTGCTTTATAAATAAAATTACCTTTACCTGTTACCTTTGTGATTTTGTTGTTGAAACATGACAGAAAAGCTATAAAAATAACCACTGTATGCTAGCAGAACATGAATGGTTTGGGCACAAATAAAATTAGGAATATTGTGAAATAATCATTATTTCTTTTCTGTCTCACTAGGTTACTAAGTAAGTTCTGTGCTTTGCTTTCAGACCACCATGAAGGAGCTGTCTCAGATGCTAAAGAAGATGCCTCAGTATCAGAAAGAGCTCAGCAAGGTAGGAACTCAAGTCCTGCATATA